CTGGTACAGAGCTGTCTACATCTTGTCTTATGTGTCTGTAGGTACAAGTCAGTCTGCTGGTACAGTGCTGTCTACATCATGTTTCATACAAATGGGGACCAGCCCTAGTCCAGGAATATGCACAGTTTCTCCTTCCACTGGCTTTGAGATTGTCACCAATTTCTCAGTGAATTGCTCTGGGTTCAGTGACAGCACTAGTCAACTCCACTATAACTACCATTTTTGGGATGGATATCCTGCTACCAAGAATCAATCAGGTAACTTATTAGAATTTTGTAGATGAATAATTTAAAGCACATGTAGACAACATAATACCCCCAGCTTTAAATTACAAAACAAAACCATTTCATTTTAAATGGCAGTATAGTAAAATTGTTAGCCATTTCATTTTAAATGGTAGTTAAATTTGTTAGGTAAGCCGATGTTACAGAATCATAGGATCTGCATAACATATGGTCTTTCGAAATCTCAACCAAACTTAAGCCGAATAGATCTGAGTCTGATATGTATGCACATAAGGAGATGAAGAAGCTTTCATGTTTCAGACCTGAAACTCTGTAATATTCCAACACTGAGGGTTGACCTGTTCATGTCAACCAATATTTTTGTAAAAATGTTCATATTTCCCTCAGGTATCCTGTTAGGCAGCAGTTCTGGTGGTTATATCCACATCTCTGCCCTGTCTGTGTCTACAGCCAGCGAAAACAGTGAGGGAGAGGTCCGAGTGCATGCTGTCAATGAAGATGGTATGACGACAGTGGTGACTTCCACCGTTCAGGTATGTTTACATTTAGCTGTGGGCTGGGGTTAGTGTGTGCATGCTGTCAATGACAGTGCTATGGGGATACTGGTGACTTCCACTGTGGAGATAATTTGACATTAAATATGCAGTCCATGTCAACCTGAAGAACTTTCAAACCTACTGGCCCTTTGGGATACCAGGGGCCAAAAATGTACTGGCCTAAAATAATATTAAGGCCAGCAACTGAACAAATTCATGTTATTGTACCACCAGCGTAGGCACTGGCAGTACACATGGTTTTAGTCTCGATCCGTATGTTCCGCCGGCTCCTGCGGCTCCGCCAGCTCCGCCGCCATGTCACCGTTACCGCTTCTCCTCCTAGACTACAAGGGCCTGCGTACCCATCTCTTGGATTTAGGTCACCTATAATCTCAACTCATTCCACATAAAATTTGGGCTTCATCAATGCTGGGGTCTAGGTGTGGCGCTCATTGCAATGCACCCTTGTCCAAAAATGGAAAAATTAAATGCTAATTATCTACCCTACGGAAGGAATTATGGGAAAAGCTTCTACAGACAGCTGACTGAAAGTCATATGTGGAGATTTCAAATATGCCCTTGGATTTGACCTTTGAACTTTATTTCAAGGTCAAACGGGTCAAAATTTTCAAAAAAATGAACTTTTTTTATGATAAAAAATTATTTGCGCAGATATTCAGAAACTACACAGACCTAACCAATAACATTATTGCAAAGTGTTACTCTTTGGGTCATCTTTCATCTCTGTGAAATTGGGGTCAATCGGTGCATTTTCACGGGAGTAGCTGCCACAAGATATCGAAACTGAAAACTGTCTCTAATTCGGGAACCGTTAAGGCTAGAGACCCATTCTTTTTTGCATTTTGTAGAGCTTGTAAAGCCCAACGCTGGAGGTGCTGTATCAAAAAGTACATTGTGGTGGTGAAAGCAAAATGTGCAGTACGGTAATATATAATAAATTTTGAACCCCGGGAAAATAAAACATAAGGCTTGGCAAGGCAGACAACTTTCTAAAATGACATTATTTCATGAAATTTGAACATCTAAAACTTCTGAGCACCTACCATTTTAAGAATTTCAACCAAAATGACCTTTTATTTATTTTAATTAAATTCTTCTGTAGGAAATTTATGGCACATTTTTGTAACTCCAAAATTGTAAAATTGTGTCCCTTATATCTCCAAAACTGGCAGAGATAGGTCCATAGTTACTATTAAAGTTGAATAGGAAGTCACATACTGGCAATTTAGCAGTGACTTTGAAATTGACCTTTGACCTATTTTTCACCTAAAACTGAACTTTGCAAATTTTCGCTCCCTTTTATCTCCAAAACTGGCAGAGATAGGGCCATAGATACTATTGAACTTGAATAGGAAGTCATATACTGGCAATCTAAGTGTGATCTTGAAATTGACCTTTGACCTACTTTTTACCATGAATTGAACTTTGCAATTTTTCATACCCTTTTATCTCCAAAACTGGCAAAGATACGCCCATAGTTACCATTAAATTTGAATAGAAAGTCATTAGAGGCAATTTACTGTGACCTTTAAATTGATCTTTGACCTATTTTTCACCATGAACTGAACTTTGCAAATTTCCGTTCCCTTTTATCTCCAAAACTGGCAGAGATAGGTCCATAGTTACTATTGAACTTCTTATACTATGATATTGAAATTTACCTTTGACCTACNTCCTTCTATCATCTCATTCAAAAACAGCACAAATACATGATAACAATCTCTCCTGTCAAGTGGCAGTTCCTTTGTTTGGAACGGTGGTTTGAAAACTCGCTTTGACGAATCATGGGGCGAGTTTCAATTGGGCACACTTTCTTGCGTTCGGAAAATTTAAATTGTGCCCAAGGTGAGTTTGCGTTCGGAAAATTTAAATTGTGCCCAAGGTGAGTTTAGCGATCGTTCGTACAGAACGGAGACAAAAAATTCAGATTCAGAGAAAAAATGTTTCGTTCGTAATTATTGCGGCGTTCGTATAGATTGGAGAATTACCGTATGCACCACTGACAACACATTTCAAGGAAAACCAATAGGCCTTTTTTTTAAATTTTTTTATTGCATATCTCAACAAAAAATACAAAATTGATAAATGACTAAATAAGAATCACTCTCACTCACTCTCTCACTTACTCACAAAGAGACTCAGTCATTTGCAATATATATATATATAGATAGATAGATAGATATTGTATCATTTAAAATATTTGTCAACAATGATATATAATCTAATAGTAAAATACTTGATAATAACTTATTAATACTATGATCTAATTCAGATAAAAACTAATATGTGTTTTACTATCAAATATCGGCAGGGGAACATACAATAGAAGATATCAGTCCAGGAAGAGAGGCTGCAACTTTTTCCATTTTTCATTAAATCTATCTATTGTCATATTTCTTAGACTTATATTTCTCTCTGCGATGTAGGCCTGTCTCCATTCTATTTTAATATTTTCTATGTTCGGGGTAATGTTTTTCATTTTAAATTTATATATTATAAATTTTGTTATGATCAGCAGACTGTTGAGTGCATTGCACTTCAAATTTGGAATTCCTAGAATCATATCAGATGCTGTTGATTGTAATACTTGTCCAGTCTTTAAGTGGATCCAGTCTTGTATTTGTGCCCAAAGGGGAGCAATTACTTTGCACTCAATAAATAATTAGTGTTGAATAGTTTCAGTGTGTTCATTACAGAAGGAGCAGGTCTCTGTGTCTTTAAGCCAATTTTTCGTAAAAAATTATTTGTAGCTAAAATTCTTTCTGATACTCTAAATTGAAACCAGCGCAGTTTAGTATCTAAAGTACATTGGAAAGCAATGTTATTCAAGATTTTCCACTCTTCAGCTGTGAGAGGTTCTTTAGAAAAGAGTTCCCATTTGGACATTGCATTAGTCTTTTTCATTTCGTTTGAGTTCAAAATATTGTAAAAAGGTTTCCCTCCTTTTGTAAATTTAAGTAACCATTAAAGTTGGGTTGAAATTATAGGGAGCTCAATTTTTTCGTGTAAATTATCTAAATTCATTTGTTTTTGAAATTTTTTTTACTGCACATAGTATACTTGTGAATGTAACATACTTTATTATATTCCCGTGCCTTTCCTTGAACTGTTCATATGTGAGGTAATTTCCCTCTGTATCTATCAAGTCATTTACGTTTCTAATACCTATTTTATTACAGGTTCTTATAAGAATAGGATTGTTTTTTATCAGTATTTTATCATTTAGCCATAAACATTCTTTTAAAAATTTTTCTTTTGTATCAATCTTTTTATTGTTTAACAGTCTGCACCATGCATCAATGACCTGATTCCAAAAAGCGTTTTTTGATCCTTTCTTTATTTTTTTGCATTTCAGATATTCCCATTTCAGACCAGTGTACACCCTTACTTTCAGGGATCAGACTAAGAAAAAAGAAATACCATTTTGATTTTTTGTGCATGATTCTCCTGAGCCATGAAATTTTTAGGGAATCAATATAGTTTCTAATATCAGGGACTTTTATACCTCCATTTGAGCATGACTGTGTCATTATATCTCGTTTTACTCTTTCAATTTTTCCATTCCATATGAAATTAAAGCACATTTTTTGTATTTTGTTTACATATTTGTTTGGTATTGGCAATGTCGAAATAAGTGGGTCATTTTTCGAAGGATCAATGATTTAAAAATTACATTTTTCCCCAAAACTGTTAGCGATCGGTGAGTCCATTGTTTTATAATTCTTTCCATATCTTCGAGTTTCTCTCTATAATTTTTCTCAATCATTTCATGTAGATTTACTGAGAAATCTATTCCAAGGATTCTGAAAAAACGTTCATTCCAATCGAGGTTCGATTCTTTGCACATGCTCTCTTGTGAATCTTTCTTGCTTCCAAACCAGTTTAATTAAGTTTTTTGATTGTTCATTTGTAGTCCAGAAAATTGTGAGAATTCATTTAGAACCTTTAGGGTATTTCTTAAACTTTTTCAGTCCCATCCAACACAATAGTAGTGTCATCAGCATACTGCAGCTTGTACTAAGTTCTTATATATACCGCTGGTCTAAATCTAGACACTAGGGGCTCTGATCCACCGTCGAAAGATCCTAGGTTCGGTACGCGATTCCCCACTTGGGTTATGCCCGGAGAGAAGAGTAACGCAACACCACTGTTTAGTTACAAAATCAAAACTCATTTATTTCCAGGTCGCAGCCTGATTTTATACTTAAATANGAAAATGTTTTATTCTTTTTGGGATTCTACAGCGAGTTGGGAGAACTTGTTTTCTTCAATGAAGTTGGCATAAGTGAAATTGTCATATTAGATCCACAATGGCTGATCGATGCCTTTGCATCCTTAATAACTGTAGAGAAGTACCATAAAGTTTCTAAACCAGAAGTCAGGGGTTATTGGAAGATGCTGGATGATAGAGGAGAACTAGATGAACGACTGATTGACAGTGTGTGGGAACAAGACGCCGAGCTGAAGGGAAATAAACAGATTCTTCTTCGCATTTGTCAACGCTTTGACTTGCTAGTTGAACTACCGGAGGAACAAGCCAACGAAAAATGGAAGAAATATTTAGTACCTTGTGTGCTGAAAACCCAACCCAATCCAGACGGTTATTTGAAAATGCAGAAAATTCCTCCATTATATTTGATGTTTGACGGCGGATTCTGTCCCCCTGGTCTCTTTCATCGCCTGGTGGTCTGCTGCCACAGGAAGTGGTCCTCTCACGACCAAAATCCATACTGTGACTATGCATGCTTCAAGGTGGACCGCTCAATTCACACAATATTGGAGTTATGTAATGAAGGAGACGGCACATTCAAAATCATGGTTGGCTCGTTGAAAAGAAGTGTCAACGTCTTGGAGGGCGACAGTGCATTCCAGGTACTTAGCTATATCATGCAGGAGCTAGACCGACTTATTGGCGCCTACTTCCCTTACCTGAAGTACAGCATTGGGTTCCGCTTCCCACACGGCCTGGAGAAACTGACAGAAGATCTGAAGACAGAGATGTTGGAGAGTGACGACGTGTGTCCGCCTGGATGCCGAGAAGTTATTGAAACCGCCCCGTACAGGAAGTGGCTCAGGAAAAATGAAAATACCTTTTGTCCATCAGCCAGAATCGGTAGGTGAATATCTGCAGGTATTGTCGCTTCATTTTCTTTTTACTTAAAGTAAATATACACATGTATCAAGATTCGGGTATTACTAAGTAACACTAGACATTCAGTGTTTTGACAAAACTAAGCGGATTTGCACACTTCTACATGTATTTGTACTTATTTTATTTTGAATAAGGCACGTGCAGTTAAAGTCATAATTATTAAAAGATTGTATAAAAAGCATTATAATTGCGACACTTTTGCATTAGATAATAAGCGAATGTAAACACATAAAATCCAAATACAAAATGACAAATATTATTTAAGTATGTCAGGAAACTGATTTTGTTGATAAATATTCACTGTTACATTTCATACATATGTTACTTGTTATATATTGACGATTGCGTTGTGGTTTCTATTGTTTCATTTTTATAGCTGTCTATCCTCCTGATGACTTGATGTGCGACTTAGCAAGAAATATTGGATTTGAGTGGGAGGAAGTAGCTGCCTATCTTGGAGTGGAGAGACCTCAGATAGATCATCTCAAACTCAACTTCCCCAGTGACACACTTGGTCAGATTCGCAATATGCTGTTTCAGTGGAGAGAAGGAATGGGGGCTTGTAGCAATGAGGAGCGTCGAGACAAGTTGAAGAAAGCGTTGGCAAGGGCCAGACGTAACGACTTAGCAGACAGTCTTAAGCTTGGGTAATACTGAACTGCTAAACTACACAGACATAAGACATGTACATTTGATACTGGATTCTATCTCAAAACAGACATTAGGTCAACATTTTGTAGCAGGTATTGTTCACATTTTTGATTGCTGTAGTGATTTTGAGAACTCGTTTTGTGTTCTTGTTTCACGTGTCCATCATTGCTCGCCGCACTGGCAGATTTCAATAATTGATTTTATTATTTGTATTCTTAATATATGTATGTATGTAGAGGCAGCCAAAAGGGACTACATTATTTTCTATGAGTAAATAAAACATGTAAATAAACAAAAGGGGGATGGTTTACTCAAATGCTTGCTTTTTCTGCACTTGTTTCATTGTGCCTAATTTTTGTTACATTTAGTAAAATTTTATTAGTTATTTGCTTATGCCATATTATTTGCTTAAATGCCATATTTAGAAATAATATGGAATTAGTATTTTTTGCAACTTTCTAGATATTGTTTGTTACACTATTAAACAACGTTTATAACTGTAATTAATTATTAATTTATTATTCAGCTAAAATAGAACTTAATGAGCTTATTAATATTATAACAAGCATTTTTTATACTTACATATCTTTGCATGTATTTTCACTTATATGTATATATAAATTTATGTTTAATTTTTCATAATATTTTGATACTCTTGCTCAAAATGGTTGGTACACGGAAATTTTGGGATGCATATTGCCCTGTTTCTTTCATTATTATTGATATTACCAAATTAATACTGTTTATATTGTTAAATATGTGAAGCTGGGGAATTGGTAAAGTCAAGGAGAAACAACCAATGCAAATGTGAAAAAAATTAAATTTATTTAGGTTTTTTTCTCATGCCCCCAAAAAGAGTACTTTTTTTACATAATAGTACCGAATGAAAAATTAAACATAAATTTATACTGTGATTGACAAATAATATGAAATTGATATATTAATATATATATATATATATATATATATATATATATATATATATATATATATATATATATATATATGTGTGTGTAATTTTTGGTTTGTTTGTAACAGGATGAAATGGGAAGTGAGTATTATTAGATTAAGATAGCATTGGTCAGTAATGGATAATGGGTTTTAAATGGTACATTTTAACATAATGAACTGAAGATGCTTCACTGTTACTTATAAATTGAGTAGAATCTAACAGACAGTTTTATTGTATGATAGGATTGTATTGGTAAACAAATGACCAACATTTGTTTTTGTAAGTATAATGTTATGTTGCTTCATAATTATTTGTGCTTAGTTTTTGACTGAATGGCAACATATTAACAGAAACTGTATATATGTATGCTTAAACATATTTTAATGGATTCCTAAAATTTAAGGTAAAATAAGATAATGATTACCAGATGGATGATTAATTGTTCTAGTGCATTAAGTGCTTGGTCAGCATTCTAGAATAAGCATTTGCCCGAACCTGTATTTCTTTAAGATAACTCAAACAGTAGTTTACGCATAAGATGCGAAGTTTAATATAACAGAAACAGACAGAGTTTGTTATTTCCCGCACGAAAATGCAGTAGTATCAAAGTATCAACGCAGTAGTGGTGCGGAGCATATTTGCAGTAGAAATGCAGCATAGCCTACTGCAATTCTACTCCAAAAAGTGCATAGGTTTGTACAGAGAGGAGCATTAATGCAGTAGATTAGCAGCATGATATGGGCATGTTTCAAATATGCTAATTAGCTCCCAAATCGAAGCAGATTTGAAGCATGTTTGCAGTATGATTGCAGTAGTCTACTGCGGTTTGCAGTATGATTGCAGTAGTCTACTGCGCTGGAGTATCTACTGCGTTTTCTTGCAGGATGTATTAAAGAACAGAAGGAGTATTAATTATAAAGTACTAGTATATAACCAAATAATGCAACTATTATATATTACGTTAAATTCTAGTTATATTTACTGGAGGGAATGGACATTATGTCATGTTACTTTATTTTTTATTGTTAATCCAATTTTTTGTCATATGACAAGAATGAGTAGTTTCATATAAACAGATATGATCAAATAACTAATGTTTGGGTAAATTTAATTAAGCATGATTTTAAATAAAATGGTTTTAACTTTTATGATAAATAATTTATTGGTAATAGATTATTAATTTTTTTTTTTTTTTTTTGCAAAAGTTTTGAGGCTCAAAACTTATTTGAGCAGGAGCAGGAGATTATTATGATAAGGTTTATTTAGGCTGTGGACTGTGGAAGCATTATATCCACACGTACTTGAATGAAGTCAAAAAGATGTATTGGCATACATTATACCCCTGTCACACTAGAGGCAGAATGAACAAGAATGCCGTGGGAAAGACAATTATTTGTGCAATCCTGGATATTCAAAGAGCATTCCAAAAATTTCGAGTGCATTTGAAATAGTTTTACCCATTCTTGTGGTCGGCCTGAATGTTAAAAATGTTTGAAGTGCATTCCAAGTGGATAATTATTGAATGGCATTTGAATAGTATTCTTACTACACAATGACTGCATTTTAAATATTCTCCCGGCATTCTGGCAACATTCAAAACATTCTGATCACATTTGAGGGATATTCGAACTGACACGTGACTTAAGGCCCCCGTCACACTTATTCGAAATCAGTAGGAATCAAGCAGAACCAGCCAGAATTAATTAATTGAAAAATTTGTGCCATAATCAGGAGGGGATTTCAAATTGCAGTCAGAATATTCCGAATGAAATTCAAATGCCGTATGATTGTGGTTTGACTGCTGGCCGAATACAGACAGAAGTATGTAAGAAGGTGCCTCGAATGATATATGAAGTGAACTCAAAGGCAGTCAAAATGCCCCCGGTATGGCTGCCAATGATGGTTTGAAATATAACGAATTCAAACATAATGCAACTGAAATACCTAAAATACTTAATTAAAATTACTTTCTAACATATTTAGAATGTAACACGATGTCCAGAGTGTATAAATAACGCCACTGGAATGGTAACTGATCATAATGTTTCGAATGATGTCAGAATGCCATGAGAATATTTAGAATGCAGTCATAGTGCAGTTAGAATACTGTTCAAATTCCGATCAATAATTTTTGATAATTTCGATAATCGATAATTTTCCACTTGGAATGCACTTTGAACGTTTTTGACATGACAAAAACATTTGGGCCGGCTACCAGAATGGGTAAAAATATTTAGAATGCACTCGGAATTTTTAGAATGCTCTTCAAATAACCTGGAATGCACAAAGAATTGTATTTTACTTGCCATTCTTAATCATTCCGCCATAATGTTTCGAATGTGCCTCGGATGAGGTGAAATATCAATTTTGCAAGCAATCGAACTACACTAGTATGCCATGCAAAATATATTCTAAATATTCTTACTGCCTTCTGACAGCATTATAGATATTCCTAGTTTTCCAACTACATTCGAACTGCATTTGAGAGCTTAAACAACCGAAAGTGCACTCATCATTCCAGGCGAATTCAAGCGCATTCTGAGTATTCCAATGGTAGTCTTACAATAATTAAGGTTAATTCAAAAATGTTTCCCAAATGTTGTGCGAATTTTTAAAATTCTTCATTCAGCCTCATTCTTCTTGATTCCTGCTGATTCCAATTAAGTGTGACAGGGGTATTAGGTGTGTGTGAACGTTTTCTTCCAGAGTTTCTCCATGAAAAGTAAAGGAGATAAACGTGAAAGAATGTTGTTTAGGCTGATAATTCAATACAAGTATCGGAATAAAAATGTAATGAAGCAACTTTTTGATTTTGGAACCAACAAGGCAGTTCTGTTGTCACTGAGTACGACATCGCCCACTGATAATACTTATTCAAGGATTTGTGACAATTTCAATGATTTCTATATTTCTCCTTCAGTTGCCTATAATTCAGTAGTGTGTTCAGATATTTATTCTTTAATAAAATTCCCCTCTTAAAGCTTCAAAAACCTATGGTGCTCCTATTGGTCTCTTTTTGACCTTAATCACAGCAGTGGCAAATCATAGCGAGATATGATCATGTTGACATCACAGCAAATTGTGGCAGGAATATCTTGTTTCCAATAAAGCCACAGTGTCCATTTCAATCCTCCCAAGTAAAAATAAGTGTGAAAGAAAATATCTTATATTTTATTGTTCCTCAAGATTTTGCCTTCTCTCTTTTGCAAGCATAATGAAGTGCATCACTGCCCATTTGTACAAATTATTCGCGTTTTGCTCCACGCACAAAAATAACTCCCAGTAAAAATTGATAGACTAACTTTAGTTTTTTTATGTACAGACACAGATGTGTCTGTACATATAGCCGTCATCTGCGTCTTCGTCGCCGTCGCCGTCGTTGCCGTCGTCGCCGTCGTCGCCGTGCACTTTTAGCGATAACATGATAAGNTTGTACTGTCAGAAAATATCTCTGGGTCTGCTCCTGTTATTGACCATGCTACCTGTTGTGCAAGATTAAAATTCAGTGTTGACTGACAGTACTATTATAAGCATTATTTATTATTGCATCAAAATTGACAAAATGACCTTTTTTGCATCTTTATTTTCTGTTTTTTTTGTCTGTACATTTGACAGCTTTGCTGCCTTGTCTTACATTTGAGACTATTTGTATAATAGCCTTACTGCTTGAAAATTGTAGAAGGTCCCAACAATATCAACTCAATTCCATTTATTTACTAAATCGGCAAAACTGTTTTTAGAAAGGAGAACAAATATCAAAAGAAAATAATATATAAACTTTCCTTCTCAATTCTGTATTTATTGCCCATAACAACTGCTCTACACAAGATTTCTGCTGTTTTCCACATAGGATGCCCAATACAGACGCAGTTACAGGTCACAAAGCATTTTGTTAAATAGTAAACTAAGATGGAAATGGCCAGTCTCTACATAACACAAAACTTTTGAAACATTTTCGAAAAGCATATTTGCTTCCTTTAAACTAAATACAAAAAAAGCTCCAAATGAGTGGG